TATTTCCGATCCGATGAGACTTGAATCTTGATGAAGCTCATGTTCAAACTAGAGTGTGTGGGTCGGCCTGCGAGTTTCCAGACTAAGACAAGTCCCTGAAGGAGGGCAGTAGCTCTTTCAGTGCTCAGGGTGACAGAAATCACGAGGATCAGTATGGCACTGTAATGCACAATACTGCGATGTGGAAGGCAACGCGAAACCTCCACACTATGATATCCCAAGAAAAACAAACCGAACCCAAAAGATGGCGTCCTCTGAAACAAAGCACTCCGGACGTAAACGAGTCCCCCACTCGGATGTCCGGGCGGGGACTACCTAGGGGGATACATCATTAGGGGCAATAGGGGAAGGTGCAATATTTCACGAGTCGGAGCGTGGAATGTTAGAACAATGAGGCAAGTCGGGATACTAGAGAATTTGACTGTCCGCAAATAGTTAAGGATGTGGGATGTTCTAGTTTTAGTGAAAAGCGAAGATTAGTTCAGGATAGGAAAGAGTGGAGGTGCGTGTCCAACTAGTCTTAAGACTGAAAACCTTATGACCTTAAAAAATCGAGTTTTGACTACATATCAATTTCTCGGTAGCTTATAAAATTGTAAGTGAGTAAATATTTTGTTCGTCACGGAAATCGCGTTTCAAAGATTTTTCCCGTTTTCCCCTAGCAGGTTTTAAGTTTCCCCTCGGAATCAGTTCGTCAACATCGTAATTTAAAATGGACACCTTGTATATTATTTCGGTTTTGAATTCTACTTACGATTTTAGATGTACTATCAAAAAGCCTTCTTATAGTTCTAAAATTTACCGTTTTCGAGATACATATTTCTTTTATTTAAAAAAGTAAAAGCACTATTAAATAGCGAAAAAGCATGCCTATTTTACAGCAAGAAAGTTAGAGGAACAATATTCTCTGGAGAGACAGCTGTATTCTCAAGTTTCCCGTCCATATTTTCAATGTGGGGTAATTGCATACAGCGTACTTGATATTTAATGGCGGATTTCGTTAACTTCAAAGAAGCTGTGAAATTCTTAGCAAAATAAACAAAACAAGTTGTTGTCACATAAAGAACCACACTAGCGGTTTAGTAATTAAATAGCTTGATTCTCAATGTGAATTATTGAATATTATTTTTATTAAGAATGAAAAATGAAAATACGTATTTACATTAAGAATAATTTTAAGAAATCAATCGCAATTGGTGGACTACGGATATATACACAGTAATAAAAAAAAAAAAAGCAATAACTAAAATAAATAATAAACAATACCAACCGGTAATAATTAAATATACTAGAGTTACATTGTTCGATACGCTCCCTATTTAGCTGTAAGCAATTACTTATATACTCATGCGGTAAACTGATGTGTAACAGTTCGTGCAATTTTGGCTGAAGCTTCAAATGATCCTGATCCTTTTCAACTATATAGATCTTTCTATGTATTGATGGGTGTTGAATAGACTTCTTGTTTTATTATTTCCCAAACATAAAAATCTAGAGATGAAAGATTAGGGGATCTTGCTGGCAAATTCCAATGTCCTACCTAATTGCCTCATTCGTAGAACCTTAAACAACTTATAAACTTTCTTGCTGATTATATTCCCAAAGTGAGGTGGTCTAGTTGATACCAACAATTACGACAGCTGACAGAATACAAGGTCTGTTCAAAAAGTTTCGCGAATTTAGAATTTCCGCGGGTTACGCATATTCGATTTTCGATTCTTTTGTGGCGATACGTTAGTGCTCATGTCTCTCACTTATACCGACAAGTTCGAATATTGACTGTGGCATATGCTGAAGCTACCTTGGACCAAAGCAATGTTTACCGTTGGTACAAAAAAGCTCAGAGGGCCGAGAAGATGTGAACGACGAAGAGCGTGCCTGACGCCCGAGGACGTCAACAACAGACCAAAACATTGATGTAGTGAAGAAAATAGTATCAGCCAGTCGTCGAATTACCGTTAGAGAAGTTGCTGAAGACCTAAGCATATCGATTGACTCTTGTCATTCGATTTTTATTAATGATTTGGGCATAAGACGGGTCGATGCGAAATTCGTACCAAAATTGCTCAATTGCCAAGGAGCTGTTGGATTCTGTCCGTGACTACTCAAATTTGCTCCAGAGTGTCATAACTGGTAACAAATCATGGGTTTATGGTTATGGCGTGGAAACCAAAGCTCAATTATCGGAAAGGAAGCTGACGCACAAGCTGAGACCGAAAAAAGCGTACCAAGTTAGGTCGAATGTGAAGGTTTTTCTTACAGTTTTCTTCGATTGCAGGGGCATGGTGCATTATGAGTTTTTGCCACAACGTAGGACGGTCAATAAGGAATATTACCTACAATTTATGCACAATTTCCGCGAAGCAATCTGCAAGAAACGCCTGGATTTGTGAAAAAACAAAAATTAGCTTTTACATCTTGATTAAGCCCCTACTCACACATCGTTGCTTGTGCGCGAATTTTTTTGCCAAAAACAACATACTAGTAATGCCGCAGCCACCGTATTGCCTAGATCTGAAGAAAGAAAATGTAGGGAAAATATAAAGATAGAAAACGAAAAATTAGAAGAAGTGACTGATTTAGTTATCTAGGATATACAGCAGTGGATAGCGCAGGGTTGAGTCACCTTCAATGAAAAGAAGTCACTTCAATGGTCTCTAACGGTTAATTTAGAAATTTGAAAAAAATTGTTAAAGGTGTATGTTTGAAACGCGGCGCTGTACGAATGCGAAACATGGATGGTGGGCGCAGCGGAAAAGAAAAGGTTCGAAATGTGGCGAATGATGTGGATACCGTAAATAGATGAGGTTAGAAATGAAGAACAAAACATTATGTTCGTGACCAGTAATCTGTCGAAACGGTCAGATACAGCAATTTCGACCCCTTTGACTCTCATCAGCACACTGTGGGTAGCTTTATCAGTACACCCAGCTACTTACTTGCAGCCTTTAACTTTACGTTCTGTTATGTATATACCGCTGCTTAGTTTTCTACATAATGTGTATATATGAAGAAGCCATTCCAAACAATAATGAATTCAAAATTAGTGGTAAATAATATCTAGAAATGGCGTTCACCACGCTATCTGCAGTTTTTTATTGAACACTATCTAACTATCACATGAGTTTTTTGGGGTATATTTGATTAAAATGGTGTAGTCATTTGTAAATATATCTTTATTTATTTATTTTTTTATTTTTTTTTGGTTATGCTTACTTTCTTAAATAACCCTGCAGTGTTTAATACTCGTTATTACCCCCATTGAGTAGTTGCAAAGGAGAAAAGAAACAGTTTAGTATGTAGATGTGTTTAATCAATAAATTTTAGATGCTATTATTACTTGAAGATTTTAATAATGTCATTTTATCTAACGGTAAAGGAAGAAAAGAGTGACATAAAGAAGCTTTTTATCTTTAAATTGCAATTATTGCCTCATTATGTGTAAAACAGAATAAATGTAATATGACACAGGTACTTGTTAGTTCAATTTTCTTGTACGTAAATAGATACTTATTCCTCGTGCAATATCATAACTTGGTAATAATGTTCAAACTCCTGAACGTAAATCTTGAGACTTTGAGTAAACATCTAGCTAACTTACTTACCTGTGTTTCTTTAACGAAGTCGTACTCTCGTTCCTTGTGTATCTTTCTTTGCCTTTAGCAATATAGTTTGCTTTTTATTTGTTCCTCAGTAAATAGCAGTCTCGCTACTTTGAGATGTTGAAATTTACAAAGGAAACCGGAAAAATATAAATGAAACGTTGTCTTGTATTATGAACTGCTGTAATAAATACATATTGTTTGTGTACTTCTAACGACAATAATACAATTCTTCAACTTTGTTACAAACAACTTCAAGATTAAAAAGATCGCATGGAATCCTTTTCGATTAATTATATCTGTACCTAAAATGTAAAGGTAATATACTAAAGGGCCTTCTGATTACATGATTTCAACATTACTAGGGCAATGCTTTAAAGTAGCTCTTTTTTTATAGAACAATTATACTGATGCGAAAGTATTTGTTAAGGGATTTTAATATAACATGCCCTATGTCATTCTTTAATGTTTACTGACTATTATGGTGAAAACTGCAGTGAAATTCGTTCATCTGTCTTAACATGAATTATGTTGATACAAAAAAACACATTTTTTTCTACAAAATTTATCCATGTCAATAGGCATTTAAAATCATAGAGGTAATATTGCAACGTAATCAAACACCTTTCGCACTACTCACTAATTTATTTAATTAGTTATTTTTTAATCAACACCACTGTTATTAATTAATTTCTATTCATTACTATATGACACACACTTTCTCACTTCTTCACTCTCCTTATTTCTCTTTGTATCACCCCGTAGCTAAAACGAAGTAACTCAAGCCACAGGGCAACTATATACATATAGGGGTTGGCGTTGTTCTAGAAAGATTTAGAACGTGACGTCTAGAAAGTTTGATTTTCTTCGTCACTATGTATATTGAATTGCCTACACGTGAAACTGTATGTTAGGTTGCCTACTTGTGACAATATGCATAGACTGGGCAAGCCAATCAAAAATGTGATATGGTAACAGAAGGAGATAGAACATAAATGTACCGTACCAGTCTCTTTTCGATTTTAATTGTACGCCGTGTAAAATTATCCAATGCGTATGCGCCATGAAGAAGATTAGCAGCAATACCTTTATTTTCTATCTCTTTTTCTTCGCTGTCACTTACAGTGCGAAGTTGTCGTTGCCTATTCGATATGTTTAAAATATGCCTTCGCGAAAAATCAAACTATTTTTGGTAGCTTTATCAATCTATAGAAAAAGGATGCTTCTACTATATGTTTATATGTATAAAATTTCCTCGTCAAAACTGTATATTACGAAAACACTCCAAGTTTACCGCTGGTTATTTCGACCAAATGTTGTGCAATACAAAATACTTTAATATTCACAACATAATTCCAAAACGCATGTATAGTTTACAATTTTTACCATTTGTTACAGGAGATTAATTATGACTCCCCTCGCGGTGGAGTAAGTGTCATTACGGAGAAAGGGGAGATAACGGTGAGCTATCTCCTTGTTCAAAGGGCAAAGGACTCGGATTCTGGAAAGTACACTTGCAACCCTACCACGGCTAACCCTGCTAGCGTCGTAGTCCACGTTCTAAATGGTAAGTAGATTCTTAAATACGCATAAGTGTATCTTCCTCATTTGAGGGTAAGTATACAAGGCCAAAAAGTCTATGATTTACGGAAACCATAGTAGTATTAGCTTAGAATTAAATAAAATAGAAGTAATATTGACAGGAAAATATGAATTGAAAGTAAATCAGAAGTATTTGTATGTAAAAGAGGTAAAAGTAGGTATACCCTGCTAATATAAAAATCGGAAATGAAAAACTAAGTCACTGATTTTTAATATGCAAGAATTCGTGGACGGTTAATATTAATTTAAAAAAAAATCCAAGAACTCAACTTTTACTTCGACCGAATGGTATTTATTCGTGGCAAACTTATTACTTCATTTTTCAAACGTTAAAGTTGAAGTTAGTGTCAATCTATATTAGGTAACTCCATCTTTTTGGGAACACCAATAATTATAAATCTCTAATTAACAAAGAGGTCCTGCTTCTCAGTAGCCCATTTGATTATTAACCCAATTATGTTAACCACTAATTTTACTTCTAAATGCTTTAATAGTGTAACTTCTTTTTTTAATTATTGTACGGATTTGTTGGTTAATTTGTAATATTTTATGGTCACGATTAAATATAGGTACGATCATTTAACTTTGTTATAATATCAATGCATTTTTCACAGTGGATATAGTTTCGGAAAAAAGATTGCTATTCTCAAGCGATTACACAAGTAGGTAAATATTCAGATACTTATACGCAGATGTATGAAGGTTTGCAGCTTAAGTTTGTTAATTTTTTACTAAAGGTCCGCCGGCGGAATTACGGAAACGGTAATGGCGCAACGTATTTGACATTTTTACAAGAGTGTGTTTCTTGACCAGTAGTTTCCTGAGTAGAGCCCAGTACCTTAGCCGACTGAACTTTCTATAAGATTGTATTAAACAGCGCGTGTACCAAACTCCAGTGAACCACCCTAATGATCAGTACAACCGCGTGACGATCGCTGCAAATGAAATACGCATTTTTGCACGACTCGGAAACAATTTCGATAGATGTCTTGAAGCCTATCTTCTGCTATAGAGAGACATTTCCATGGCGTTTTTTTTTTATTGTAAAACTTAATCATCATCATAAGGTCGTTGGACACGCTCCTCTACTCCTTCCTATCCTGAGCTAATCTTCGCATTTCCCTAAAATTAGAAGATCCCCCATCCTTGATTATTTGCGAACAGTAATCTAATTTAGGTCTACCTCTATTCCTCTTAACTCCTGTTTCTGTCTCTAATATGTCTCTGACTACACCATCATGTCTGAGAAGGTGTTTTACCAACCTATCTCGCTTATTTTTTATTGCCTTCCACATAGTCCTCTGTTCTCCTATTCATACTAATAGCTCTTCATTTCCAATCTTCTCTATCCACGGTTTCCTCATAATTCGCCGGTATCACCACATTTTGAACGCTTCTAACCTTTTCTTTTCAGCTGCGCCTATTATCTACGTTTCGCACCCGTACAACGCCGCGCTCCTAACACATCTTCAACAGTCTTTTCCAAATCCTCTGTTTTATATCCCTACTACTCCTTCCGTACTGACTTGTCTGCCTTCCTAGATAACTAAAATCAGCCACTTCTTTTAATTTTACGTCTCTTACATTTATATTCGCTTTTTCCCTACTTTTTTTCCCTTGTGCTTTTAAAACATTTAATAATTATTTGCCGATTCTTGTTTGTTTAATAGTTTATTGCGAAATTCCAAAAATTATTGTAAATTAATGATTTACCTCGAGTATAATGATTTTAATCATATGGATGAGAAAATGTCATTATTTATATTTTTGGTTGCAAATTTGAGAAAAAGGAACCAACATAGCGTCCAGAAACGTAGTAATAAAGTATAATTAATATAAAAACGTAATATTATTTCTACGAATACATTTATTTGCGAAAAACATTGGTAATTAATCATATGTTTCATCATCAGTTTGTCGTCTCAAATTATTAGATTGTAAATGAGAAGATCATAATTTATATTTTTACTTGTGCGAACCTAGAAGTGTAATACTAGAAGCACAAATGAGAGTTAAGAGTGGGAAATAGGATGTCCTAGATTATATTACTATTTCCAATTCCCTATTAAGGATATAGAATGCTCCAATTTTTGGGAAATGCAAACATCGGGTTAGAATAAGAAGAGGTTCATGTCCAACTGATCTTTGAACCGAAGATGTGATGTGGCGAATACCCTTTTTATGTATTTCAAAATAATGAAACGAAATATCAATTCCTATAATATAATGCAATTTTCTTCCCGGAACTTCTGAAAACTTGATAAGTATTGACTATTATTTTTTTACGTTTTCATGATAAAAGGAATGCCTCTCAGAAAGAAATAATGTAAATTATTCAGTCGCCTTTCGAATTCCATACTTGGGGAATAAAACTTTTGGTAAATCTTTGATGGAGTATTGTTAAAGAAGATTAGAGTTCTTCAACAAATATGATTCAGAATTTTATTTAAGTGACTTTTTCGTAAATAATCCTGAAACATGTTGCTTGAGAGAATTTTAACAAGAGTCTTGACATTACTGTGTGTTAAATCATGCAAATGTTTATAATACCTAATTAATCTTTACCAGTTGTTATTGTTACGTAGTTTTGTTCTTCAATATCTGAAAACATTCCGTTGGAACCGTGAAATGTACATTTTTGTAATTTTTATATTTGAATTACGGAAAACTACATAAAAAACGATTCTAATTATAAATTTTAAAAATTCGAAATTCATCATATTTAGATCGAAATTAAAATCAAAACCAAAATCTAAATAAGAAAAGGTAGAAAATTTAAAAATTTTAGCCTGTTTTATTGCGCTCTCAATTGCGTGATTGTCATTCCTATAATGACATGATAACTTTCGTGAAATATTTTCTGTAGGGGAGCAGGGGGGCTAGTTGTAACAGGGCCAAGTAGTAACTATAGTAAACAAGTAACATTCATTTGATTTTCAACCTAATCTACTATTTAATACCCAATACATCATATGAGCGCGATCAGTATCCCAGCTGGATAGCGCAGGAGGAAGTTTTGTGGAGGCGGTCCAATAAGACTAGGTAATGGACTTTTATACAAAGCGATTGTTGCGCTTCACTAAGAAATATATTTACTTAAATTAACGCTTCAACACTAGCGTATTTTTAGTAGTGCGACAGACCAATGATGGACAATGTCGACGTCGAAAATTTCATAATTTCAGAAACTGCATTTGGAATAGTTGCAGTGAAAACTATACAAGGAAAAGCATGAGAAGAAGAAATGATTGAAAAACTTTTTCCATTTCGACATAAATATTGGAAAGATGTATAGAAATCCCTTTATCAATCGATTGCTGTTGTAAGAATCGACCCAATAGTTTAGCCAAATGCACAAAAAAATTGAATAGAAATACCAAACAGTCATAATTTATTCGATTTTGGTAAATAAAATAAGTGAATCTAACGCCAGCGTTATTAATTCTGTTTTGCTGAAAGAAATATTTAAAATAATTTTTTTTTAATTCTACAATCAATTTTTATCAAGCAAAACTAGATTGAATTAATAATAAATAATTAAGGTATCATACATTTTCGAAATAAAAAAAAAATGAGAACTTTTAATTAAAGTCCCTTTTCATAGTTGCTATTAATTTCCACATTTCCTTGGTACTCGAATAGAATGCGAACACCCTTTACGGGTTCAAATTTATGGGTCGCAATGATCGTTTATTGATCGCGTTTATTAACTTTAATCGTAGGTTCCTTCCTTGTTTTCCTTCCCGTCCGTAATACTGCAAATAATAGGCAGCGTATTGTTCGGTAATTCAAATAGGTCGCGGTAATTTCCCAACCCTGGAGATCTCCAATAATAATGCGACGTGACGCGATGCGCCGCGGCGCCCACCGCTATATTATTATCATATTATTATTATTATTATTGTTATAGAAGTCTCTTGCTTTGCAAACCCCGTTATCAGTTATTGGCGTTAAATTGCAGGAACGATTGGTACGAAGCAACCGCGAAATGCTACGATTGTTGCGAGTTTTGAATTATCCGAAATTTACGGTTGTTTTCAGCAATGACCGGGAACGAGCCGCGGAAAGGAAAATTAATTCCTTATCCTCTAAACTTTACGGTCGAACAAGTTTTTGGCGGTTTAATTTGCAACGGATACTTTCAGGCGAAACTCGATGAAACTTTTCAATGTGGATCCCGAATTGAAAACGGTCGCCTTTCTCATCTATATACACACTAATAAATTAGTTTTCGTAAAACGATCGTCGCGTTTCAATCAACTGTTTATAAACGTCCAATTTTAAATAATAATAAGTTGCGATCTTTGAGACCCGCAGACCTACTCCCAGCGTATAAAATAACACAAAATAAATATTTTTGAAGTGAAACGTCTTTACGCATGGTAGGGTAAGTTCGTTTCATGCGAGTTGCTATGTAACGAAATCATGCAACGCATTTCCCCCGCTATCTATCCTTATGTATGCTGAGATCTTTAAAACTACGCAACAGANTCATACAACCAATTTCCCCGCTGTCTGTCCCTATGTATGATTAGATCTTTAAACGCAACGGATCTTAATGCTGTTTTTTTAAATAGATAGAGTAATTCAAGAAGAAGGTTTATATGTATAAAACAGGCATAATATATTAGAGAAACACTGATAATTTCAGAGGTTTGTAATAGGATGTCGTAAATAAACACATTTCTTTGCGCTTACATTGCAAACGCTGGGCTAAACCCTGCGAGATAAATCAAAATAATATACTACAGTATTGCACACCTTAAAAAGGTCTACAAAAAAGTCCGGGATGATATATGTCAATCTCTTAGGGATAACCCACAATAACCATTTTTTATCCTTTACTTTTTACGAGAAATAATGGCTTATTTACGAAGCGATTTTAAGCAATACAGCATTAATCCTTATCCAACTAAGTACTTTTAAATACAGTGTGCATTCAATATAGATAAATATGGCCCCTTA